CTTTTAACATGACAGACCTCAATCATAGAGATAACTACTGTCATTCAGTAGTTGTAATCATATAAAATGATCTCAATCTCATTGATTGGATTAGCGGGGTTTCAATTCCCCGTTTTTATAGACAGCTGGCGAAACGTCGTGATAATTTCATTTCATTTATTTTAATTTTGACCTAACATGAATTAAAAATTTAATCTGATCTCTAGATAACCTTATGACAATTTCGCCTATAATTTGGGATGTACGGCAATCAACTACTCTCTTCTATATTTTGATGTGGGACAAAGATCGAAGCCGTTAGAAGGGTAGTGGCTCAGTTGGACCCGCAGGTATTAAATTTATAATAAACATTGAGAGAAGATATTAAAATTTGTATCGAATTGCCTCAATTACACTATTTTAAGCAGCATGACCACTCCTTATTTCCTTCCATCTTTAAAGTTCACTTCTTTCCGTTTATTCGTTCAATCTGCTTTGTCAAATCGGCAACACAAAATGTTAATCCCGGAAAGTAAAAAGGAAATTGTGGGACTAAATGAAAAATGGTCTTGCTATGGTTCTCCCATAGCTCATATGGCATCATTCTTATCCGATCGCACGATTCCAGCAAAAGAGGGGAAGCATACCATATAATCCATTATTCTAAATAACTATTTGCAGCTAACTTGAGTGAAATCTCCTAGGGGAAGTGTAGACGCTCCTTCTTCAAACAACGTCCTTAAAGTCTTCGAAATCCTATCAGACATTCAACACACTAATCACTACTACATCTAGAGATGGAAATTAAGTATTATAATAATAATCAAATACAGATTAAAAGCATGACAATTATATCCTCTAACTCATTAAAATATGTGAATTTGAAAGGGTGAGTGTTTTTGGCTTTTGTTCTCTATCGGCCTTTTGATTTTCAGTCGACAAATATGGGTATAATTCATGTAAGATGCAATAATAATCTTATGCGAAAAAAAATACAATTTAATCCATTTCGGATTTAAGGAAATTGCATTGTGCTCTTAAGCCATCTTCGACCAACCATAGCTCTGTGTCAGCTTTATCTTGGGCTTCGTTTTGGTTGGTTCTTGTGCATGCCAAGCACGCCTATTGGCTGTCCTCACAGCGAATGAACATGTGCAGGCACTGACTGAGAAACTTGATTTTTCATGTTTAAAAATTTATTTGCTTAATATCATCCAGGAAAATAGGAACTATGAGCTTCCACCGTCCGCTTTGCCAAGTTTGGCTCTTTATCTTCATCACTCTTTTCCAGTGTTCTCTCGCAAATGAGTAAGTTCCTGTGGCAGTATATGCGCTTACATCGATTGTGCATGCATCGACTTATTGAATTCCATTCTGTTTTTTAAATTTAATATCTGATTTTCTGGCCCGAGAATTAAATTAAATTTCGAGTGTATACCCCTGTGATGTCTGTAAACATTTTGAGGTCTACTTGCTTCATTCATTTTTAGACAGATATTGAATGAAATCTATTCTTCATGGTATTATTGAGAGTTAGTGGATCAATGTTTTCAACTCACAGCAGTCAGTTCAATTGGGAAATATTGAGCACGACAAGGGGAGAAACTTTTCAGCGTTTAGGCCAGTGAAGGCATCTTTATATGGCGGGAAAAAAAGAATAGATAGGGAATTTAAGGGGGATGAAGTTGCCCACCAATGGAATTTTAGTTCATACTGGTGGATTTATTCAAAATTACAAAGTTCGAATTTCAGTAAGAAAATCACCCAAGTAACTTCGTGTGTCAAACGTGTTTTGTTTTTGACTGAGTGGTTGATCATATCATGTTGAGTGTTTAAGTTAGATTTTTTAAAGCCTTTGGCCGATTTAATTGCCAGAAGCTTTTCAATTTGATTCCCAGTTTGTTGCTATAATTATTAGCATTTGGGAAAATTTTCTACATTTTACCTTTGTATTGAAAAAGTCTCAAGTTTTAATCATGGAAGGCTTTTGAATAAGAGGAACAGCGAATATGTCCGTTAAAGTAAGAAATGGCCGAGAGGGAGTCGCTAATAAGCAGGTAATGAACTCAGAACCTCACGAAACTCACTTTAAATTAGTTCAGGTTCATTGGTAAATGTTCAATTTGTAATTGCCTAATGCTCAATCTTCATTATCTGTTTAATTTAAATCGATAACATGTGACTACACGTCGTTTGTGTCCTGGGCAAATATCAGACGAGACTGTCAATAGTGCGTCTATCCATGGTACAACTCCAAAAAATGTATAGGCATTTGTTTATCATTGAGTATTCATCTACTTTTGAGTAAAGGATATGCCTGAGTACTCAAGCCTATCTCTCCAAACACTTGCTGCATATATATATGTATGGTCCCATGGTTCTTTCATAGTGGGCTAGTCCATTTTGCCGAGACGTCATTTTCATCTAATTAACTGAAGACAAAAGAATTTGGCAGTTTCAATATTCTTGTGTGTTGTTATGCTGTACTTTTTTCAGACATCATGTTTTAGTACTCGTTTTGCAAGTGAAATGTATCACTATACCGTCTGTGGGAAAGTGTGCTGGTGCCACCACTTCTAATCACCCTCACCCCCCCCCCCCCCCCCCCCCCCCCCCCCCCCCCCCCCCNATGTATCACTATACCGTCTGTGGGAAAGTGTGCTGGTGCCCCCACTTCTAATCCCCCTCCCCCCCCCCCCCCCCCCCCCCCTCTTCCTCCTACCCCTCTCCCTCTTTTTCCTCTCTAATGGCATATGTTTTACTAATCGTGAGACCCATAAATCCAAACATTCTTGCGTCCGCCGCGTTTTGAAGGAGCTCTCCTACATATGCCATCACCACGCACACCGTCGCAGGAGCTTCCAGAAAAGTTGTCCGATTTTTAGTTCTAAGGCCTCTTTGTGGTAATGATACTGGACCTGTCCACAGGGCCTCACAAATTCACGCCTTGGCTACCACCAAACCACAGCCTTCCCAGGATCGTCCTAGTTACTACTCACTGAAAAGTAGCTCCTCTCCATATATCCACCCCTTTTCACATCGTCATTAGGTTAAAAGAGTAGTCCATTGTGCATTCTATGAGATGCGAAATTCCTACTCCCACAATTGGGTGCGTTTTAATCATTATTTATTTATTTATATTAAATGGCAGGCGTTCTGATAGTTATCATTAGCCCTTTAGTGTTCATTTATCATTAGCCCTTTAGTTGACTTCAGCCTTCACAGAGGGGAAAAATAGTCAAGAGGGGAGGGGGGAACAGAAGAGTTCTTCAAAGATGTAAAAGAGACAGACATAAAGGTAGAGAAAAGGTGAGGTGAGTACTGTGGAGGTAGTCGAATATGGCATACAGTGGGATCATGGCAGTTTGAAGTCAACTGCCCATTGATAGACCTTTTTGCCGTATGAATATACGTTGCCCAGGGTGCACCACATTTTTGCCGTATGAATATACGTTGCCCAGGGTGCACCACGAGGAGGTAAGTCTATCGCACACCCCGTTTTAATCATTATCTAACGTTGTAAAGTGCTTTTTTGCAATTTCCCGAAAGCGGATTTTGAGAACCATTTTTACTAGGGAATTTGTCTAAGTTTATAACAACGTTGACCTCCTGCAAATTAATAATGAGAATATGAAACGGATTAATTTAGGCTGTCCCAAGGTTGGAAAACTGTGTGTGTATCACAGTTTCTTAGTTGACTAGGCGAGTAAAATTGCGAAGTCTTGCCGTCAAACCGTACTTCGTGATTTCTCCATCATGACATGGCACACTTTTCGTGCCCAAAAGTATGAAAATGCATCAAAAGTGAGGCGGCGGGAATGATTCTCATGATGATTTTAAGTTATGATTACTTTGTGTGAGGTCCTTGAAGAATTACTCATTTTCAAGGCACCGTCATAGAAACCTTAAGCACAAAAAGTGTCACTAGTCCCTATTGAGGATCTAATATCCAGGGTGATCTAGTTATTTCCCTCGACTATGAAAGCTTGCCTAATTGGTTTAATGATTCAAAAATAGGTTGCGTTTCGCACCCATTAATACTAGTCTTTTCGTTCAGATATTGAATTATTTTTTGCCCAGGTCTTGAGCGTGATGGTGAGGGTGGAGGGTGGAGGGGGGGGGGATGGGAGAGAAATTCACTTTATCGTATCTATGTTCTATCCTGGTCCTCTAAATTTTCACTTTCTCTTAAAGCTGTATAAGACTCTGTTACTCTTCGTTACAAGTCTGAGAGCTTTTCGAAAAAAACCGAATTGGCTGGTCATAACAATCAAAGACATTAGCGAAATGATGCCTCAAAATAGTGCTGTGTATGCGGTAGACCGACTTCCTCTGACTACATTTGACCGTCAACCCGTCTTCCCCTTAATGATTTACGATTCTCGGTGTTCTAAGTTAATCCAGGAGTTTTGCCTTCAAAATACGGTATGTTGCCTCGGCGTCTAGACAGTCTATCATGGGTGGCTTTGATCGAGCTTCATGTCATCGTTTGAGTGGAAAACAACGCGCTTTCAAACAAAGCCCTGGGTTGGGTTTGCCTAATGTTTACTGAAGGAATTAGACCTTTTTTAAATTAATATAATTCTCATTTTTTTTGCTCGAATGTAAGGTCGTTTCAATGCGTCTGGATGGTCTTTATTAGCCCCTTATAGAGAGCACACGAAAGGCGAAATTTTTATTATTCCTAACAAAAAAAAGAAATATTTGGCAGATATGGTTTCGATGTTTGCTGGAAGTATGGAGGAGAGTTATGGCTTAACTCGTATAATTTGCCACTCTAAGCGTTCTGAGACTTGATAAGTTGGGAAGGTGGTATTAGTTGGAATTTCGGCTAAATTTCCTTTCGATCAGTGCAGATAAAAATGTATATTGACAGTTGGCAAAACGTAGGCATATATGTGTAGCTTAAGTTCTTTTAAATTAGGGTCTTTTTTACTGGTGCTTTCCCAAACAAATTGCCTTTGGCCCTTTGTTAATTTATTTTGTTAAATTATTTTACTAGCTTATGCCTTTGATCAGATAATCTGTTATTCAAATTTAGCCCGGAAGTTATTCAGCAATTTTGGCAACAACTCTACAGACATCTACCAGATCCTGCACTTCCAAATCGACATTCCGATGGTAACGTAATTTCTTTTATATTTTAGACTATATATGTATATATTAATTGACAAGTTGCATTTTTACTTAGTAATAATGTAATTGTGACTTTTTAATATTCCTAATACAATTAATCTAGTCAATGGGAAATTTTAAGGTTTACTTCATTAGAGCTATGGCACACTCAAAATAGCAAAATTATAGTCCATTAACCGGGGAAATGGAGGATCGAAAAGATGCATTTAATGAAGTCAAGTTACTAATAGACTAATCATTTTTTGAGATTTTTAGGTACTTGTCCATTTTCTCCTTAGAATTAAAATTCACTTTGCGCCATTAAACTGTTTCAAAGCTCAACTGTCACGATTTGACCCCTGAGTGAGTGAGTGCTTGAGTGAATTGATTACCTCCATATATATTCATACGTCATTGGTCTAGCGACATGGGATTCATTTGTCCCTTTTTACAACATCCTATTGGGCAGACGAAACTAGCATGAGATTTTTCAACGTACAAGATTAAATTACTTAAGCTCAAATCACATTAATTAATTATTTCGTCCATATATTACATCCTTATGTGATGCTTATTATTTGAGCAGATTAAATCAACAAGTGACAGAGTGAAGACGTATTACAAAATCACGCTAAATTGAGATAAATCAAGTATCCCTTTTTCCACTTCCTAATCAGGGCAAATTGCATTGAGCAGAAAGATAAAGCAGTAGATATGGGGGGGGGGTGAGATCGCTTGATACAGCGAATGCAAGGTTAGTTATTTGTAAGATGGGAAACTCTGCTAAGCTCGCTTTTTTTCTCATTTGAGCGGCAAAATAAATTTAATGGTGAAATTTGTTAGTAAAAAATGTTTTTCCTTGCAGGTCAACAAATGGGAGTTAAGATATCCGTTGCCATTGAGAGTGCGGAATTCGGTCATACCTACGATGATTTCGTGAGCTGACATTTTTTAAATAATATAAAATTTTTGCGAGTTTATAATTTAAGTCCTTATATATTTAAAAACTCGGATTTTGGTGCTTGCACTTTATCAAGATCCAGAAAATTTTTGCCAGAGTAGTGAAAGTGGTGTTTATATATTAACTAGGAATGCCGTTTCGAATTGCCAAGTACTGCTCTTGTGTCTTGACAGTAAATTGTTAAATTTCATCTTGAATTATGGCCATTGACCACACTTCAAGAACTCTGAATGGTAATTGAAAAAAAATGACATTAAACTTTTCTTTAAAAGAGAGGGAATGCATGTACGTAATAATTCGTAATGAGTTCATTTTAACATTGATCTTGTGACAGTTAATACGTCCATCTGTGAATTCAAAAACCACGGCTTCTATGCTACACTTGTTGAGTAGAATGGCCGACTGTGCTGCTTAAGCATGGATTGCAAAGAGAGTGATCCGAGCTCGTCTTCTCCCCCCCCCCCCCCCGCCTCCAAGGGTGCCCCAGGTTGTCAACTCCTGCCCAATATATGTGCTGGTTAGCGTTTTTCTAAATGGACTTTGGATATAGGATGAGCTATCTTTAATTCAGTTGATTGGCTAGTAAGCTTCTCCTATGTTAGATCACGTAGGTAAGAGCGTTTTAATTAAATGATTTTGAGTCCCATTGAGCTCCTTTTGTATGTAGACCTCTATTAGTCCCAATTCTACTAAGTATCCTGTATTTTATTTCGCCTTCAGTCTTCAACCGAGTTAAAGTAGAAGTACGCTTGTAACGTAATCACCAATCCAAGTATTAGAGCACTTGGCATGAATTCAAATCACAAATTGGTGTAAACTTGACCCTCAGCCGAGAAGCCGTTTGGAAATTGGATATCCGTGTCCATTTTTGAGCATTCTATTTTCTGAGTACCAGTTTAAGAAGCTAGTTCGGGCCTAATGGAGAACAACAAAAAGGCGCTTTGAAACCATGGCGCTTTGTCAGATTCATATTTCGAAAATAAAATATTGTCTTCAATTTGATGATACTAATCTGTTAATACGTAAAGGCCTCAGGACAATAAAAAAATCTATTTGTTAAGGAGTTTTAAAATTTATTCCAATATATATTTGTTAGATAATTGGGGCTAATTTGTTACTTCTTGAAAGTTATATTTACTAACCAGTATTTAAATCGACATTGAAAGAGTTCATAGTGAATTGGGTGATTAGGACTTCTGTATCTAATTGTCTTTGTGGTCGTGTTCATGCCTATCAGATCAGGAGATAAGAAGTTGAAACTTCAGCCACAGTTTTAGTGCTTGATCTAATGGGCATCAAGTTTTACCCGTATACGTCAAAAGCACTATACTTCAGTCTGAATTTGATTTCTCGAAAGGGATTTAATTCCCCATCTGTTTCATATCATTCACCCTGAATTTCACTGCTAATTTGACCAAATTAACAATTCATGAACGCCATTAACTCATCTTTCTGATTCACTTAAGAGGAGGAAGACTGTTACAGAAATTAGCCTGTTGCTAATTACCCAGGTCTCAATCAATTAGGTCTTATTTCCTTCTTTTTTGTGTGTGTATAAATTAGACACCGATTGAAAGTGGAGGTGGGGGGGAGGTGGCTGTTTTGGCCCCTTGGTAATTTTATTGAAACCCCAAGCAAGGATGTAAGTGTATGGTGTATTACACTTATTTGGCGACCTCTCACTCCCGTCCTTTTAGGTCAGGGCGATTGGATGAGCCCCTGAATGCAATTCACCGTCATTGCGCCAGTGTGAACGTCTGTGTGTGCATGTGTATGTGTGTGTGTGCATATATACCGAAGTGGTTTAATATGATGACTCATCGGCATTTTAATGACATTTTATAATAAAATGGACTGGGGAAATAGGTTATGCAGGTGGTTTTTTTTTAATTTGATTTCAGTTGAAGAAAATTTAAGTGATTGACAGTAGCTAAGTCGTAAAATCGGTATGCCAATATTTCTGAAGCATTTAGGAGTTCCTCTTTCATCAAATCACACGCCGTGTTGTGAGACGAACGGATCTTATTACTTTTATTCAAACAGCAACTCCTCTTTTTAGGACTCTGAAAAAAATAATCAATGGAAATGAATTCTGTGGGATTAAGGAAGAAAAATATTTTTTCCAAATTTTATTCCATTCTCATTTATACTTGCACACATTATTGGGAATATTCTTTGATTGATACTATAAGAAATGCTGAATCGAGCAAGGGTGACGTCGACAAGAATAATTTAAGGCTTAAGACCGCCACCAGATAGGCACTCGTTTATCTCGAGGCCTATTTATAACAAACGCGCTATAATTAATGTTAAAACTAATGCAAATGCGTTGCCTCGTGTTTTAATGCCTTCTGAAGTATGACATTGTGTTTTGTCTACATTATTTCCGATCGGAAATTAAGCCATCACCCCTCCTCGGATGAATCACTGCAAAATTTACAGTCTGCCAAGCTATGAATCAGACCAATTTCTTCAAAAACTTGTGCATCTTGAAATATTGAAGCATTTTTCCCCCTATTTTTCTGCCTTCACCGATATTCCAAAGATTCCCCCTGGAATTTGCGCAAAGCATTTCACTATAGGTGGCCTTTCCTACCCCCCCCCCTCCCCCTCCTCCCCTAACTGTAGTTTAGATTCCCTAAAAAAACACCCTTCCTCTACAAGTGAGGCAAATCGATTTCTAATCCGCACTTTAGATAAATTCTTAGACCACCTAGGTAGTGTGAGCGGTTTTTTCAGAACTATGACTACTCCACCGTGGTTGAATAAAAAAGGCATTATGCAGTCCTTTTGACATGGGAGAGTTTTGCTTTGTGAGGTGTGCCTGGGGTGTGGAAGTTGATTTCAGTTAAGTGCCTCCTCCATGTAGAATAAATTTCGACTTTTGAATGAAAATTCCACCGATTTTTCCCGCTCCTTCCAATAACTCCCACAAAACCCACAAAACGCCAAAATACTGTGTGAAAATGCAAAGCGAAGATTGTCATAACTGACAAAATTTGAGCAAAAGGGAATCCTAATGATGCTGTTCACTTCCCAAGAGTGGGGTTTATTAAGGTTACCACCACAACCCTACTGACATTTTGCGATCATGCTTATTTGTTGACCGCTTTCAGTAGATTATCGGGGAAACGGTCATTTATATTATTTCAAAATGAGATGTCACCGTCGTATTTTGACTTATTTTTTGTTTTCTGAGAGGTATTATGCATTAAGAAAGTGTTCATAAGACTAATGATGTAAGGGAAAAGAAAAAAGCTGTCAACTTTGGTAAAATTTCAATATTTACTCGTTTGACCTTGATCGCATCAATATCAGCGAGTTGCCAAAACACTGAGATTCGTTCAAAAAATTGAATTAGCCACTTGACTGAATACTTCTTCGCAGCCATTCTCATGAAATCGAATGAAACTCAAATTCCATTCAAAGAGATTTTCTAGCTGAAAAAATGACTGACTGTAACCCGTTCATGCCTTTTCTGCGGTTTTCAAAGGTGATAGATTTCAAAATCTGTCGAAAACGGAATATATTTTCCTTTCCTACTTTTTTTCGAACTTGGCCGTTCCACAGTAAGTTAAAGGGATGAGTCAGTTTCCGGGTTTCGGATTTTGCTCGGCGAAACAATCACGAACTCAGTTCATGGAGTTTCCCTTTTTAAAGTCAAACACCCGAATTTTCATTTAATTTTTATTTTTAAAGTGGCATTCCATCCGTGCGTGTGGGTGTGTGTATGTGAATATTTTAATTTTGGGCATTCATGCTCGTTTCGTAATTAACACAACAGTGCGGCAAATAGCAACTCTTCTGCATTTTTTTCTTCTTTTACTTACAGAATTCCTCGCTTTGTCTTGGCACATCACAGTCACTTTTGTGGCTTCATTCAAATTTTTGTTAAACCAGACATTTTTTCTGCATGTCTGTCTATCTGAAATTTATTCAGTCTGTTCTTTTTAACCAACTCAACTTGATTGCTTTGACAGGAAGTTTCTTCCTCTTTTTGGTAGTCAGCTTTTCCATTGCGCTTAGCAAACCATTTTCTTATTGTAAATTTGCTTTAGCTCCCGTGCTTGTAAAGTCACTTGCACATTAAATTTTGGCAGACGTATCGTAGTCTCCAAGACAATGGACTATCTAAATTTCCATGTTGTTTATGTGACAACGCATTTTGACAAAGTAGACAAACCCTGATTTGTGATGTTCAGCAAAATTAGCTCTCTCCACCCCCCCCCCCCCCCCCCCCCCCCCCCCCCGCCCTCTCCATCCTACCCTCTTCCTCTGTTCTCTAAAACACGGAAAATTGAAATATGAAACCATTTCAAAATCCGAAACTCTCCCCTCCCCTCCCTCCCCCTGGCAATCTGTATTTAGAGTATTTCACGAGGTGACAAATTTCAGTTTAAATTCACAGTATTATCCATTTATAGTAGTAAAAAAGGTGTCAAATTACAAGTTTTTTTTCACAGTGAATCATAAAGATTTTCTAATGCAACGAGCAGATGCATTTCCGATTCATTAGCCATTACAATTTTATCTAATCATCATTTCCGTCAGTTGAGATAATACTCTCCAATAAAAATAAGGGTACATTTAGTACCTGAAATGAACTTCTAACAAGAGTGCACAAAAAGTTTTTTTCTTCCATTTTCTTTATTAGTACTTTTGCAGATTGAAATACCCAATTATATGGAGTTATCCAAAGTTATCGCTCATATTCAATCACTGCACCTTTTAATTTCTATTCATGCGCGAATTTTATATTTCACAAAAACAAGAAGTTACCGCTATCACTTTACTCTATCGCAAGCGTAAACACCTTTTACAACGGCTGTCTCTCGTCTTTGCAAACTCGTCAATTTGAAACTTCAAATCTTTGCTCTAGACTGTGCGACAACATTGCAAGAAAATTTCTCTCTTTTTTCTCTCTTAATAAATGCTCATATGATTTTAAGTTATGATTTTTTTCGATAAACCGGCCAGGATATTGTTCCATTACGCGTTTATTCGAGGATTGTTAAAATTTCTTAAGCTGCTAAAAATGACATTTTTCCACAACTTTGGTCCCATCATTATTTTAGGCAATTTCTTCTGTTCGCCATTTTTTTACTTTGTTTTGCCAGATTTCCTCTACTCTCCTTATCCCCTATCAGCTTTCTTGCGTGTGACAAATTTCCTCAAATTGCTCATTAGCTATACAAACGGAGGGTATTTTCTTCGGCTGAATGCCAGCGTCCGTTGCAAAAGCTTCCAAATTCTTTTAAAGTTCAACACATGCAGGAGGGAAAAATACACCATAAAATGACATGATAAATGTCTCGTTTAACGGAAAACCTAACACTCTCAATTGGGGGGAAAATGCTTGTGTATTTTTAAGTTGTTAATTAACCATGCTGTTTCAATTGGCCTGCTAGAATAATTTCTTTCAAGTAAGGATGGAATGGAACTGTCTGTGGCCTGTTTATAATGCAAACATTTTTTTTCCTGATCTTCAGGTGTGTCGAGCGACCGTGCGTTTGATTGCCAGTTGGCCGATAATGGATGCTAAGATCTCGGACAGCACTTTGGTGCGAATGGCAGGTGGATCCGTGTTATTGGACTCTGAGCGGGTTTGGAGGCCTCGTGTTATGGTCGATGGGGCTCGTAGTATTCACCTGATAGGGCGACGTCTTGAACTTCAATCAGTCAAATCCTCCCCACCTCATCGTAGTCTACTTCAACAGAAGACAGATGCTAGTAGTGAAACCTCGAATCAAGGGAACTCTGCAAGAAGGCCGGTATATGTAATGACCGAAGTGTAAGTTCTCCCTACTGGGCAATAATTAATATATATAAATACATATATATTTGGTGGGGGGGGGGGGGTTATGAGGTACGAACCATTTTTGTAATATCTTATCTATACAAGGTACTACTCAAAAGAATCTTTTAAAGTATTTGGGAAATATGCTTTGTTTCTTACAATTAGCTTGAATGTGGATCTGCTCAACTCCCTGCATCTTTCAATAACCACACTTATAAAAGTCTTATCCCTAGGACTGAGCTAGTAATCACTATGTTGGCATATTTTTCAATTCAAATTATACGATCTTTCTGACTGGTTTTTTGTTTAGAAGGAATATATATTCCTTGAATTTAGCCTATGCATTAAATTCATCTTGAAGCGTATTTACTTCTGTTCTGTCATCGTATTTGCGAAGATAGATATCATGACAAAATCAATCATCTGTACTGGGTTAAAATTACCCTTAATTCTAATCAATTTCTTTACCCTTTTTATTGATATGATTCGTGTTATACGGTTGGAAATCGGAAAAAAGAGGGGTTTTATTTTTTAGTTCTGAACTAAAATCGGCTTTGCTTAAATGCCTTCCCTATCAGTGTTCGAGCTAGTATATTCATTCTAACTTACCTTCTTTTCCGTTTTATAATTACAGGTTTAATGTGGAGGTTTTGTGCACAGCTCCAGGAATTAAAAATTACCTGGGAGCAATTCACTGTCCAATTGTATTCAACCAAGGTAAGCAATATTATTTTTACCATTACTTCACTCTTACTGATCAACTTCAGACAAAATTTGATACTCATTTCGGCGAAATGAGTAGAAGCAGACTGAGTAAAGTAACCGAATGAAATATTATTATCATAAAAGTAAAGTCCAAATACGCGTTGAAAGCGTTAGCCTAAAACTGTATCACGTAGAATAGAGTTATCTGCCAGGACGAATTTCTGCGAGATTTAGCCCCATTACGCAAAAGGAATCTACCGCTTCTCACTCTGGGATCAACACAAAAAATTGAAACAGGGGGGGGGAGGATTCAGCCGAACGCATGTGATTGAAATAAAAGTTAATTCCCCTATTTAAGGCTCTTTCTTTGACTTATATGCCAATTTAATTTGCCACATTCGACGCTATGAAATTATGCAAGAAAGTGAATGATTTATCACTTGAATTCGATCAAAATAAACATTTTCCGCATTATCAGCTTGATTTATTAGAAGGGGGGACGCAGTTGGTTCTTTTAAAGGCACCCTTTGATCACTGCGTGTTTTGAATAGCTCGTCCTTTTGAAGGGTCATTTCCTCCAAGTTTTTCTAGGTCAAGCGTGCTGTTTTTGTGTGCAAGTGACAACACAGACACTTTAGCTGAGGTGTGACTCATTATATGAGGGGGAGAGAGAGAGCGGGATGGGGAATTGGGAAGTGTGTATTCCTGAGTGTGTCGAAAAGTGAACATCGTGGTGGTCTTCTAAGTAATGTCATGAGTCACTTGGGGAGTCTAGTCCCTGTCTAGGTCCCCCTATCCTATGCTGCACATTTCCCTCCCTCCCTCTCTCTCTCCCTCTCCTTTCATTAATTGATAAAAGTTTTTGTTTTATAAACGACGTACGATAAGAGTCCCATAGCAGAGCCTTGAAATAGCTTTCGCCAAGTGACAACCCTATGAATCATTGGTATTCGAATATTTGCAGAAAGTTCACCTTAGTCACACTTCATTTAATGAGGAAAAGGCCTCCCTTCAACAGGAGTAGGTTGCCCCTGTCGGAACGATGGAATTGGAGTTAAAAGTGGGTAATTGGGGTTCCCTAAAATAATCACAGTGGTCATGTTTAATGGACAATATGATTGCTATTCCATAGCCACATGTCACAGGTTCGATATCCATATTTACCAACCCCGTGGTCGGAATGACCAGGTGCGCTTATTAAGTCTGTTTATTTGATGAGTTCACATCTGTAGTTTTTCTTCATGATAAAACTTCTCTACTCAATATATATGTATATGTATGTATATGTATGTATATTATTAATTCACTAATTATATAACTGTATACTTTGTGTTTCGAGCCTCCTTTTCATTGTTCTTTGTAGAAACGTTCCATAAAGAAAACTCAGATTACATTTGGCAGGATAGAACCACTTGTGCACTATCTAAAAAAGCTGGCGAAAAGATATCCTACGTTACTGTGTCGACTAAGGAGTCAGAGAATTCCATTTCTGGAGGTAAGCAGGTGACAAAGTACACTTTTTACTCCTTCATCCTTTAATGACGAATATTACTTCTTTGAACTGTTGGCAAACAGTGCAGGGAAAGAAACTATTAGTATTTTAGTGGATGCAATTCGTAGGAATTCATGGAACTATACTTGGCTTTAGCTAGCAAATAATGAAAACCCATTGAGCATAGCATAGCAAAGTCTATTGTGAATTTCAGTAATGGTGGGCTGTAATGTTGATATAGGTCCCATATGCTTTAATGGCATTATTTACTTTAAGTAAGCATAACTTCTTCCCTCTCAATAGCTTATTTTTGAAATGTACAACTTATTAGAGTAATTCTAACTATATATATATGTCGGTGGCCCAGTTGTGTAGTTTGAAAAACGTAATGCATGGTATTGCATCTACTCACACTACTACTAAATTATTAATATTTAGTGCATCTCTAGAGTTGGGCGATTTACAAATTGTATTAGCTTAATTTCTCCCTAACGTACGAGCAGAATAGGCATATCAATTTATAAGTATTTTGACTTGCGTGTGTTCGTTGTCAAATTGGTGATGGTGATGGTGTTGGCCATTAGATTCTATCACGATGTAGATGGGTGGGTGGGTTGTTATGACAGCTGTGCGTTCTAACGACTTCAATTTGTCTGTCAGACAATCGGTCGCTCTTGTCTTCCAACTAATTGGCTGAAGACGAACTACCCCTCTGCTGATTTGACAACATGACAGCCCACTTTGACTGACCTCAATTAATGATGAGCACGTATTAGATTCCAACTCACAAAGAAGAGGTGTCAAATGTACCTCCTAATGCACTTATTGCTATTTTTAAATCGTACTTTTCTTACTAATGGTAAAGAATCTATATGTCAGACGTGTTACTCAGCCTAACCACCTAGTTCTGAAGTATTTGTCTCAGAAGTCTTACCATGCTCTTTTAAGCACAACTGCCATGAGTAACTCAGTTCCAAAATTACTAGATAGATCTTTTGTCCTGAAACTCTTTAAAGCTGCTAGAATGTATAAATTTAAATACGCCGTAGAAGTAAGTAAAAACTAGACTACAAAACTCGGATGGAGTGGTGTTCAATAAAAGTGAAAGCACGTCCCAGAAGTAGGTCGAAGATGCTACATTTTTTAATAATAAACAAATTACTCTCAAGCTTGAATGGCATTTAAAGCTTTGCCTAATTGCATTCCAGGTCCACAATCCAGTCTCGCAATAAACCTTTGCTTCAATCCAACTGGTCTGGTTTTACGAGCAGCTCTCCCCGCGGTCTTATTCACCCTCCTCTCTTTCATCCTCCTCTGGTCACTACCCTCTGGTCCTCAACTTATCTCTATCACCCAAGGTGCTTTGATTCTCCTTTGTCTAGCAACCTGGACGCATTTCGCCAGTACTACACCCACTCGCTTCACCCTCGTGGACGCGTGGTTCATCCTCTGTCTCGTCTTCATCTGCCTAACCTTCTTTGTCACTCTCCTTGAGCATCGTCGGCTAGACAGAATGGCCAAGACACGCCAGCTACAACAACAGAGGCGCATCTACTCGGCTCTAAGTGCGGCGTCAGCCTTCTCAGTACCCAAAATACCCTCCTGTGGTTTGACTGGAGGTGGGGGTGTCGGAAATGGTAGCGGGGGTTCGACTTGTGGTTGTGGGGGTTGCAGCTGTGCGGGCGGTTTTTGTGGAGCCGGTGGTGGGGGCTTTATGGGCCTCGGTAATGGACAGACCAATCCTATGGGCTCCGGTGGCTCGCCTCCCCCTCTTGGATTGATACATCAACCTTCCCCTGTCACTATGCCGACGAAATTGGTAAGAAAATTCAAATACACGGCTGTATGTATAAGAGAGGCTGTCCCCTCTTATCTCACCTCAGCTACTTAGCTTGGTGTCAAAATGTGCTAACTGCTGGAATAGTGCTGTCAACTCTCCAATCAGAGTGGAAGTACTTTGATGGGCATTACATTAGTTCTTTATTTTCAGTATTTTGATATTACGTTACCTTTTCGCTCCTTTGGAAGTCATTTAGCAATTCTGACGGGTAATTATACCAATTTATATCTCGTAATACTCAAGCACTATTCTCAGGACAAATAATAAAATCCTAGCTTGCCACCGTTTAGTGAAACCTAATTGTCGTTGCTGGGGTATCTCTGAAAATAAGTGATTCATTTGCCCTAGAAACTATTGTCCAACTTTGAAAAAACCGACCGCTTGAAGTCAAAACGCTTGACAAATTTTCAAATTCTAGTACAGGAGACTAATTATCTTCCTCACTAGCACTATGACAACTGACAAGTATTTATCAAACCCTCACTGTCACTATTTGTCATTTGACCAGACTGTTAATGAAAGGGCAGCTAACCAGCGTTAGAATTACCTTTTTTATTGTTTAATTTGACCATCGCTAACATGCTCTCTTCATTGGTATTCGCCTTTAGGACATTTGCAATGAAGCTTACTTTAGGTCGGCTAGCTCTGAGTTGAGCAAGGATTCCTCCGCAATAATGAGCTTAGGGACAGCTCTACGACTTCGATGTGCTAAGAACGGTGGCCTGAGTGTGTTTGAACCGAACGACTCTAATCTTGGTTTGATCAAGAGCCAGTACGCACCAAGTTCGACTCCCGGGGCACCTCAAATTCCAAGTGGAAGTATCCTCCAACCTCTTGGACCTATCCCTCCAAGCTACTGCACCACTGTGATAGCGGTTGCACTGCCTATTATGTACATACTTGCGGTTATAATCTTCTGGGGCTTCTTCGGGGCCCAAGGTACCGTGCCTAAGGAGTGTCTGGTGGGAAGTGTTAGCTGCCAAGCAGTAGACAGGGGCTAATGAGAAGAAATGGAGGGGAAATATCAGTGTTGCGCCGTTCAAATTCTTGCTGCAATCACCACCTCCCTGTCATACAAATATGCACACATTCAAATTCGTGACAATTATGCGTGAACATTCACCACCCCCCGTCCCACACCTCCGCTTCTTCCTACTCTCCTACTCTAACTTGTATGTATTTAATTCTACCCAGGGAGGGGGGGGGGGGGGG